CCACCTCTCCTTTCTGCATTTTTCTGTCCTCCTCGCTCCCCCATATAAGGGGGGAGCCCGCAGACCCCCCACAGACAACCTGGGTTGCATCTGTTTCCCAGCACATGGTGTGAGAATGTAAAATCACACAGCATGCCTTTTCTTTGGCTATGTGCCTATGTCTTCATTCCTCAGATGGCTTCAAGTTCTCGGTCAACACATGTGGTCAAATCTCTCACCCTACCTCATCACAGAAAGTGCCATTGCCTTTGGAGACAGAGGAGTGGGATGGTGAGTGGTTCTGGGGAGCTGGGAAATGGGGACTTTCATATCAAGCCAGCCTCTTTCCCACCTTCTCTTCAGACACGAGCAGGACCCAGTTGCCCTCCACAGGGCGCTGACATTACCAGGACCCACTCCCTGCCCAGCCAGGCCTCTCCCTCATCATGTAGGATCTCTCTGGTCGGACCATCCCCAGCCTATCTGTTCTGTGGCTTGGGGAAAGTGGAAATGGCAGAGTGGGAGGGGCTCGGGGCGGGTTTGGGGATGGTGTGACAGGGCAGGTCCCTCTCTTTTTAGGAATCACTCGAGGAAACATTCTGCACATATTGGCTTTATCGACTGATGCTGGAATGGCTGTTGCCACGGCAGCAGAGGCTCCCACTGCAGTAGAGCATGGTGGGAAACTCAAGAGTTGTGAAAGGAATCAAAAAAGAACCAAAGAGAGGGAGAGGTCGCACTAGGGAGTGTCTGAAAGTTCCAGAATGCCAAGATGACTATTTAAAGAGGCCACCACATGGCCACAGCACAGCCCTTTAGAGAGTGGCAGCGGGAAGATGAGCAGAACCCAGTGGATGTGAACAGAGAGGTCCAGCACTCGAGGGGATTAGTACTGAATTAACTCATGAGATGAGCATGGAAGGTGTTCTCCATCTCATGAACTGACAGGAGGCCTCTCATGCAGGAGGTGGTTAGAGGGGGGATGGAGAGGGGCTAGTGCCTCTCTTCTGGACCATCCTCTCTCCTCAAAGGAGGCAGAATTTCAGGAGCTGTTTATTGAAGGAAAGGAAAGGACTTGGGATTTGGGGCATGGGCAATCCCTGGAGAGGCGGGGCGGAGGGAAAGAAAAGGAATAAAGATGAGGAAGAGACAGGGCTTGAGTGCAGGGACCAGTGAGAGCTGGAAGAAAGGAGGGTCAGCTTCTGGGGACAGTGGGCATGCAGGGACAAGGAAGGGCAGGGGACAGAGCAACAAGTGGAACAGTGCCTCATAGCAATTCTGAAGATTGATTTGACAGGAGCAAACCTGCAAAGCTACTGGAGACGAGAGGCCAAATAAACCTGGGGGAGACAGCATTGGGTCTGCCTATAGAAGTATGCATGGGCGGGATGGACCGCAGTGGAAATGAGGGTTTTCAGCCAGATGGCAACCAGTTAATTTCTCCTCGTCTGCTAAAGAGGAGATGATTTTATATACAGGAAAGGTACATAGAGACAATAAGCAAGAGCTACCGTACCCTGGTAAATCAGAGAACAAGGATCCCCAGATTCTCAAATCGCTATTTTTAGGAGAGGTGATGTTCCCGCATGATTGAATTAGGTGTGGTCTGGTGCAAACTGGAGAATGATCTCGGAGTAAGGAGGAGGACTTGAGAAGTGATTGTTTGCAGTTTCATTAAAGGTGGGGGCTGTGGGGGCGCCTGGGTGACTCAGTGGGTTAAGCCTCTGCCTTCGGCTCAGGTCATGGTCTCAGGGTCCTGGGATCAAGGCCTGCATCTGGCTCGCTGCTCAGTGGGGAGCCTGCTTCCGCCTCTCTGTCTACTTGTGACCTCTCTCTCTCTCTCTTTCAAATAAATAAATAAAATCTTAAAAAAAAAAAAAAAGGTGGGGGCATTGGGATGGGGGAGGAAGGGCGTGGTTACCCGGGCACTTGGCACTTGACAGTGTGTTCCTTGAGCTGGGATCTTGTGTTTGGGCATAAGCATGAGGATCTCATGCTTGCCCAGAGAGAAAATCCCAGGACTGGCCTCACCCTTTGGGTACTCTCTGTGCCCCGGGAAAGCTCTGGCACGATACTGTCTAAGTCCCTTTAACCAGATCTCCACTGCTTGTCATTCCCTACCTGAGATCTCAAGCCTTGCTTCCAAACCCTGAGTGTCCTAAGTGCTAGACGCAGACTCCGAGGCCAGTCTGCATGCGCCCCCTGGACCTTCCGGTAAAATTTTTGCACCTGACCCTTTCCTCTGCTCCTCTGAGGCAGCAGGATACAAGGCTGAACAACCTCTTGCTTCCTGCTCTCCTGGTCTGAACCCTTCTCTGTTTATACTGCTGAGTATTCCAGGAAACCCTCAAGACCTCTTCCACCTGTTCTGCTTGCCAGCACAGTGTCTTACTCCTGCGCTCCCACGTTTCCAGCGCCTAGTAAGGAAGTGCCGGACTCTGGGGTTATGACAGTGAATGAGACGGCCAGGGTCCCTACTCTTCAGGGCTTGGTCTCTCTCATGTCACTCCTGAAATGAGTGTACATATATCTGTGTCTCCCTGTAATGAGTGTGTTGGTGTATGTGACATTGCTTTTTCGGTCTCTCTCTTGTCACTCCTGAAATGAGTGTACACATACCTGTGTCTGTCTCTCTGTGATGAGTGTGTTGGTGTATGTGACGTTGCTTTTTCGCAGTCAGGATGATTATTTTCCCAGATCTGTGTTGTCTATCTTATGTTCCCTGTCAGACATCGAATTCCTTGAGCGCAGAAATCTCCATCTTTCTCTGTATCAACCAAAGCCCAACCAAGGGCCCATGCTTCTTACCAAACACCCCTTTGCTTGAGAACTGTGTGTTCTTGGTGCTGTGGTCAGCACATCCTCTCGGTGATGATCCCTGTCCTTCCACATGTTTTGGTATCTCAGTCCAGCCCTGGGATTATGGAAGTCAGAGGACTGTGGACACTACCAGGACGCAAGAGTCATAGAGGGGACAGACCCGGTGTATAGCACTCTGGCCTCCTAATCCATGTTACTAACACAGCTGAGGCCACTTTTCCCTGTGAGGCACTGAGAGACACAGTTGTGTACCCAGAAAGCTTCAGGGCTGGTGGAGGAGACAGACATGCACACCGATACCTCTCACACCAGGCAGGCTGTGATGATTAGCACTAAGAAAGTGGGTGAGCCATGAGACCCAGGCACAGGGTTCTTCAGATTCTAAGGAGACAGAGAGGAAGCTAGAAAGAGGGTGGTTGGGGATGGGGTGGGCAGATAATCTGATGGTTAGCACATTCTGGCCAAGCGTTCTTGGGGTGCTTGGCTGGCTCAGTTGAAAGAGCAGGCAAATCTTGATCTCAGGGTCATCAGTTCAAGCCCCATGTTGGATGTAGAGATTACTAAAAAAATAGATAAACTTAAAAAAAAAAAAGAATTCTTAGGGCTTTATAGTTCACAGTGTGTGGTTCCGTCTGGGGCCCACCTCTTCTGGAGCAAGCTTTGCTGCCAGAGACATCCCCTCTGCTTTCTCCTGTCCCTCATTTTCTTGCCTGAGAACCATTTGCTTAGGCAACTTGGCACTGACCTGGAGGCCATGGGAGGATGGACAGGGTCGCCCTCTACAGAGAGACAGCCAGAGGCCCACTGCTCCATCCCTCTTGGCCTCTACCCCTTCCACCCCCATCTTTCTTCCCTGAGTCCAGGTGGGAGGAGGGAGAAAGGCTCCGGAAATGTTGTCTTTTTAAATTGCTCTGCAGCCCCACTTTAGATCAGGCCTGCAGGGGACCTGTGCTAAGCCTCCAACTGATTTCCTAGGTTTGACAAAGCGCTTTACAATGCCAAAGCCCTTTTACTCATTAAGCTGGTATTATAACCACTGTTAAGAGAAGAGAGCCAGCCAAAGGGGTGCAGTGACTTTGACAAGGTCAGTTAGAATGGGAATCCAATCTCCTGATCCAGGCGGTTGGTCCTTTCCTTCATTCCCTGAGCCCTCTCCCTCGTCAGCCCTGGACCTGTCTCTCCATGCCACCCCTATCCCATCCCCTTTGCCCTACCCCGGGGAGTATCCCCAACCTCTGGAGGGCAGCGGAGAGCCTCCGAGACTGAAGTACGAAGATACTGGGAGTTTCCTGGAGGGAAACCGCCACGGTTTGGAGTGGGGGTGGGGGAACCAGCAAACTGAATAGTAGGGCTTCCCCAACCCCTCTCCCAGCATCTTTCCCGGGCCTACGAGCCCACCTATTCCCCCCGCGTCATGAGCTGCCCTGTCTCGGCCCCTTTTACCTGCATCCCACATCTGCACGACAGATCCTTTTCACTGCCCCCCACACTCTGGGCGCGGCAGAGGGCCACGGTGCTCTCCGAGAACTGGTCCCGCCTCCGCGTGGAAAGCTAGGAAGAAAACTGGTGGGATCCTTTATCTCCCCTCCACCCCGACCCCCTACCCATCCGCCCCTGGAGCTCTGCCGCAGATACCACCCCCCTCCCGAGCCAGAAATAGACACACACTCGCTCTCCCCCACCTCCCTCCCTCGCGCACACTCCTCCCCTCCTCCTGTTTGCTCCTCCGCCTTCCCCTCCCCTTCTTCCTGCGCTCGGAGCTGCAGCCCGCAGCCTCTACTCAAGCTGGCGGGCGGAGTGCCGCGAGGGAGCTGCCGGGCAGTGCTCGGCCAGCGGGACAGACAGGCGGGCAGGCAGAGGGTCGGGACCCGGGCATCGAAGCACCTCTGCGCGCCCCGGGAGCAGCCGGGCTTCCATTCTTCCTTTGATTGATTTCTAAATTTTAATTTGTATTTCCCCGCCCCGCCCCTTTTCCTCCGACCCCGCCCCATCGCCCCACGGTTTCCTCGCTCTTTCCTTTTCCCCTCTTCCTTCCTTGCGTTTCTTCCCTGCGCCCTCGCTTGCCTGTCTCCCTCCTCCCTCGCTGCCCCCCTCCTCTCCCCATCTTCCTCGGTTTCTTCCGTCCTTTCTCTCCCCCTCCCCTCCCCCGCCTCCTCTTCCCTGCGCTCCCGCCCCCCCCCCCGCCCCCGCCGTGCCTGCAGACGCGCGGATCGTCCATGCGCTCCTCGCGGGCAGAATGCTGGGCAGCAGCGTCAAGAGCGTGCAGCCCGAGGTGGAGCTGAGCGGCGGCGGCGGGGACGAGGGCGCGGACGAGCCTCGGGGCGCGGGTAGGAAGGCAGCAGCGGCGGACGGCAGAGGCATGCTGCCCAAGCGCGCCAAGGCGCCCGGCGGCGGTAGCGGCATGGCCAAGGCCAGCGCGGCCGAGCTGAAGGTCTTCAAGTCTGGCAGCGTGGACAGCCGAGTCCCCGGCGGGCCTCCCACCTCCAACCTGCGCAAGCAGAAGTCGCTAACCAACCTCTCCTTCCTCACCGACTCGGAGAAAAAGCTGCAGCTCTATGAGCCCGAGTGGAGCGACGATATGGCCAAGGCGCCCAAGGGCTTGGGCAAGGCGGGGTCCAAAGGCCGCGAAGCTCCGCTTATGTCCAAGACGCTGTCCAAGTCGGAGCACTCGCTCTTCCAGGCAAAGGGCAGCCCGGCGGGCGGCGCCAAGACCCCCCTGGCTCCCCTTGCGCCCAGCCTGGGGAAGCCGAGCCGGATCCCGCGCGGCCCCTACGCCGAGGTCAAGCCGCTCAGCAAGGCTCCTGAGGCAGCCGTGAGCGACGATGGCAAGTCAGACGACGAGCTGCTCTCTAGCAAGGCCAAGGCGCAAAAGGGCTCCGGGCCCGTGCCCTCCGCCAAGGGCCAGGAGGAGCGCGCCTTCCTCAAGGTGGACCCCGAGCTCGTGGTGACCGTGCTGGGAGACCTGGAGCAGCTGCTCTTCAGCCAGATGCTGGGTAAGTCCTGCCTCCCCGCCCCACCCCTGCTCTCTCCTAGCCAGCTGCAAGGGTAGGTGTGGGGAGAGCTCAACCTCCTCTCTTTTCTCCTCCTCCCGGTGGGGCTCTCCAGATTTCGGTCAGGTTGTGAGGGGGCATTGGGCCCAGATGTGCAGGGCTGGCCTCCCTCCAGATGCGCATGGCTAAAGTGCGCCTTCTTAAAGATGTCACCGGGCTTCCCGGGCTCTGCTCTGGCCTGAGGTGAGGCTGGACAATGGCGTGGGGGGGGGGGCAACAGATATTCAGAAATAGAGCCCATTAGCTTCCTGTAATTTTAAAGCCCAGAATCCTAATGTGGCAAAATCGGGGGCTGATGGAGACCTCAGTGGTGTTGTGATCTGTGCTTGGCGAGAGTCCATCCAGCATGGCTAGGGGAGAGTCCAGTGAGAGCCCGGATCTAGAGGACAGATGTGGGGAAGGCAGATGTGAGGGCTGTTTGGCCCCAGAGCAGAGCTGAGGCTCCACTTCCTCTGTGTATCCTCCGTGGGAGCGCGAGTCGGATTTCCCGGGTGTGGGGGTTCTGGCAAGGAGACACGTCTGAGGCCAGGGGGCGGGCGGGCAGCCAGCTGTGCGCATCTGGATGTTCGTCCTGTACCTCGGCCCAGGCCCAGGCCCAAATCCCTACCCCCCAGGTTTTTTACAGAGTGTGGAAAGGTCTGGGGTCTGGCGCAGAGAATCCTGGTTGACGGGGAAGCCTTTGCCCTTTGGCTAATGGAAGCCGAGCGGGCGGGAAGGGAGGAACAAAGCTTGCTCGGGCGGAGGAAGCGCAGAGAGAGCTGTTCCATTGTTCTCCAAGCCTGAAGAGTCTATGCAAAAAACCCGGAGCGGGCCCCGGAACTGCGCTTGCTTTCCCCGCGGAGAGCCCTCGCCCTGAGAGGGATAGTTCTGGGATGTGCAGGGCGCAGGGCTGCCGCGCCTCGGGAGCCGGTACGGGTCGCGCCGGGGCCACGGGAGGACGGCGGCAAGGCCTGGAGCCCTAGCGGGCCTCCTAGGCTCAGCGGACTTGTTGCGGTGGCTGGGATGTGGGTCCTCCGGCGCCGAGGGACCCGAACCCGAGCTGCCAGGGTACCAGGCAGGCGGCCCGCCCCGCTGGGGGCTGGGAAGGGGCGTGTCCGTGCGCGTGTGAAGGGGCGGGGCCGACGCGGGCTGCGGTCCGAGGACCCGCCAGAGGAGCTGGGGCGGGTGGGTGGAGAGAGAATGGGGGTGTTGGACTGGCAGCCCTGGAGAACGCAGAGCTGGAGAAGACTGGTTGGACCTGCTGCTGTCATCCCCGGATCCCCAGACCCCGGGGTGGCAGCATGAGGAACCGCTGACCAGGGCAAGAGCCTCTTGGAGCGTTGGATGGGGAGCCTCTCCTGGCAGGCCACATTTGGGCTTTGCAGCGGCGGTCAGGAGACTGGACAAGGGCAAAGAGGGGAGAAGCAGCCTTTTCCCTAGGAGAGCCCTTCCTGAAAGCCCCGGCTTCGTCAGGAATAAGGCGGGATTGGGGGTTCGGAGGTGCAGAAGCTGACAGGGCAGCCTCCTGCTGCAAAGGGAGAGTGCCAACCTTTTGCCAACCGTGGCCCTCAAGGAGCTTATAGTCTAATGGGATGAGACAGAAAGAGAATAAAGAAATAAAATCATTCCAGACGTCAGGAGGGCCATGGAGAAAATGGAAGTGGACCCTGTGATGGAGGAGGACAGGAAAGGAGAGCTCTTCAAGCTTAAGGAGGTGATAGTTGGATTGTGTCGGAGGCAAGAGGAAGCACAGGGCAGGGCGAGGCAGGGCAGGCTGGCTGGCAGAGGAGCATTCCCCAGGCACTTGGAAGTGAATATGATGGGTGTGGATGGTCCTAGAGGAGAGGAATTGAGTGTCTGACTGTGTCCTGGCGAGGGGAGGGCAGTGTCAGGGACTCAGAAAATTAGAGGGCACAGCTCCCTTTTCAAGGTCAGGGCTTCACTTCTTTGGGATGTCTTAGCTGATCTGGGCTGTCCCCAGACAGGCAAGACCCAGCACCGCCCCAGGACCTGGCTGCCTCCTTAGTTGTTTTTCAAGAGACAGTAACCTCGGAAACCCTGATGGATAGTCTTAGAGCTGGCTGGGGGTGGCAGTGGAGGGCAGGAGATGGGGTGGGGGGAAGCTTAGCTGGGGTCGCTTACTTCTGGTCAGCGGTTGTCATTCCCAAAGCACACTGGGGTCTGGCGCAGTCAGAGGTGCGGCAGCCTCTCAGGAACCTTGGAGATAAGGAGAAAACACCCCACTACCCCACTTCGCAGTTGGGGAAATGCAAGGTCAAAAGCACCGAGGGCTTGATTAGAGCCAGCTCTGAATTAGTGATGGTGGCCAGGTTCTGCTTGTGTTCCTAAGTCACTGGCTCCATCTGGGAGGCCTGCTTGAGAAAGGGGAGTCAGCAGGTCAGGAGGGGCCTGACCAAGGCACATGTCTCTGGACATGGGCCGCCGACCTGCCCCGCTGACCCTGCAGAGGGGGCTGAGGGGCTAAGATCTCTGCTCGGGGGAAAGGGTGGAAAGTCTGGCAGACATACTAGATTCTTTGGGGCTGTGAGAACCAAGGTGGGGGTGGGGCGTGTGGGTAGGATCTGGGGGGACAGTGCTTGGCATCACAGGGTGGTGGGGAGGGAAGGGGGTGGGAGCTGGTGCCCTCAGGCGAAATCTCTCTTCTGTGTGAAGGTGAGAGTTGCGATAGAGGGTTGAGGAGCCAGGGGACAATAGAGCTGCTCAGTCTCTCCAAACCTGGGAAGGTGTTCCAGGTTGTCAGGACCGGCCTTCACTGGAGAGCAGGGTGGCCTCTGAGAAAAATGGTGGCCTTGATGCCTCAGGATGGTGGCTAAAAACAAGAGTATTTGCTCCCTTCCTGGGAAGCTGAGGGTCAAAGTTCATGCGTTCCTTGGTACCATCCCAGATCTGAGAAGCTGCCAAAACTCAATTTTGTGGGGAAAGGGGGTAAGGGAGCCCCAAATAAGAGCTTTTCTGGAATAAAAGAGAAGAGCTGAAATTCAGTCACTCCCTTCTCAGAAATCAGCTGGGACCCAGATGGTCTGGGCAGGCTCCGTGCCCCTTCCCTTGCTTTGGAAGCTGCCAAATTACTAGGGTCCCACCGGGGAACCCTGGAAACTTAGAAGGCTGAAGGGTGAGTGCCCAGGGGAGAATGGGCCAGTTCCAGGAGTCAGATGTCTTTGGACCCTGGCCGATGGTCCACGTCAGGCAGTTGGCTCCGAGAGGAAATGTCACCAGACCTGGGCCTGGGAGAGGGTGGGAAGCTGCAGTCCTGAGTCCTTGTGTGGAAGTTCTGAGCTCTGCGACCTCCTCTAGAACCCAGTTTCCCCATTCGTGAATGGAAGAGAACTCTCTCATGGCTCTTCCCTACCTATAGTGATGGGAAGGGGGCTGCAGATGAAGGTGGTCAGACTTTGAAAATGCCCCAGGTCATTTCAATGCATCATACCATCCCAAACCACACTCTTCTTGCCTCACCAGCCCTGGGCCTAAGGCTCTCAAAGGAAAATCAGTTTGTTGACTCCCCACACATTCAGCGTTCCCTTCTTCAACCCTCTAAGTAAAGGGACAGAGTGGAACAGCTAAGGCAGCCCAAGGTCAGGATGTCAAGAAACCTAGGTGTCTGGAATTCCTGGTCCCACTTCTTCAAGAAGGTGTCTGGACCGATGGGAGGGGTTGCCATGGCAACAGTGAGGTTCTTGGAGGCTCAGGGCAAACCGAACAGGATAGGGAAGTCCAGAAGTCATCCATTTCTAAGCCAATGGTTGATGTTGGTTTTAGGGGGTTGGGGGGTGGTTTACTCTAGAGAATGTGTTCTGGAGTGGTTTGAATAGGGGAAGAGAAGAAATTACTTTTTCTTCAAAGCACTGGGGGGTCTGGGTGGGTAGAGTAGTTATGGTGAGTTCTCCCGAAAGAGCTGATGCCCAGAGGAAACAGGTGATACGCGCAGGCTTGCCTAAGACCCTCAGGTTAGAGGCTCCATGACCAGAGCCACTCCTGAGGCCTTCCCAGGGGTTCCCCAGAGGCCTAGCAGGAACAGGAGGACAAAGCTTGCCTTTAGCCTTCCCCTGGGCCCGGCAGTTCACGGGAGGATGCTCATAGGTCACAGGCAGAAGGAAGGGCTGTGGCAAAGTGTGGGGGTCTGAAGGTTAGCATGCATGTGGAGAAACTGGCCTAGAACCTTCCGTCTGTAAGGCCTCCTGCCTTCCTCAAGGTAGCACTGAGGAGAACTTTTCTTTTCTCGTGTGCTCAGAACTTTTTCTTCTCTGTCCAGACTTAGTGCTCTCCACGGGCCCCATCCAGGTCATCGCACGGCAGCCACAGCTCTGCCTCTGAGAGATGGATGCATTAGTAGGTCTTGGGGGCAGTTCCTCTGCTCTGGGGAGAAGCAGATAAAGCCGAAGGGCCTGGAGCTAGCTTCCCTGCTTCTCATCTCCCACTCAGGGAGATGCCCTTTCTCATCAGTGTTGGCTCCAACCCCAGGCCCCTTCTAGATGTGGATTGAGTGGGTAACAGGACTAAGTCGCCTGGAATCCTGGGGTGTTTCCCCATACTTCCCTCCTTTTCTACACCCCACCCCCACACATACATCTGCTACTGTGGCTACAGCTGCCACACACACCCTCCCCCCCGCCCCGCTGCCATGACCTGTCCCCAAACCTAGGCTGCCAACGCCAGATATTTTCTCCTGCTAACTTCCAGTCTTTCTCCTCTCTGGAACTGTCCCTCCACACACACACACACCCACTCCTCACAGCCTCTGAGCCCAAGTGCTGAAGGTGCAGTTTGCTCCTTGGGGCTCAAGTTGTGCCAGTCCTGAGCAAGGGGAGCAGAGCCCCCAGGCTCCCTGACTGCTGCCGATCCATCTCTACAGCTCGCCGCAGTGTCTCCGTGCATGGCCAGGGAGAGAAAAACCCTCTCCTCCCCCACCCTTCCCTGGGATCTCTCAGAACCACAGAACGGAA